AAAACAGTATTATACTAACCAAATTTCAGTTTTCAAAAACAGCACAGAACACTAGAATACTAAAAACTGATATTGTAATCACTACGCATTCCCTTTTGCCAGGTAGTCACTTTCCCAGCCTCCTTGTGACCCAACAGTGGCTAAAGAAACATAAGGGAACAACTGCCACAGTGCTTCTGGGAAGCCTTTCTGCCTGTCAAAAGGGACAAATTCAAAAGGAGAGTTTCTTGGAGCTGTCTCTTCCCTCATGCTGCAACCTTGAAAGTGGTCATGATGCCTGCAGCTGCAGCAGCTATCTTGTAACCATGAAGTGACAGTCATGAAAAGAAAAGTCAGTTTGCTAAGGGGTGCACAGAGAAAAGACCCAGAGGAAAGAGAAGAAAGAACCCAGAGCTCTTGATGACCTTGTCGAGCTGCTGCTCTGATCCTCATATCGTGATATCCTGACAACGTGAGAATTGTAGCTAGGGATCAAAGATGGGAGAAAGACTTTCCTCTGTATACCCTTTGGTACTCATTTAATTTCATACCATGTGCATGCATCACCCGTAACAGGTGGCAGAACATGCCACCCCAAAATATGCCACTTTGGCATAAGGATTATTTTTGAGTAAAAAGCACTTGAAAAACAACAGGTGCAAGAAGGGAGCTCTGACCTCCCCTTTTTCTTCTGGAAAGTAGGAGACAAAACTCCCATGTGAAAGGTGTCCTGCCTATGACAGGAGGAAAGAAAAAGAAACATTCTTATCCCGAGAGGAGGCCCAAAGGATCCTGTACAAATAGACCTTGTTAAAATAGGGGCTGGCCCTGTGGCCAAGTGGTTAAGGTCACATGCTCTGCTGAAGGCGGCCCAGTGTTTTGTTGGTTTGAATCCTGGGCGTGGACATGGCACTGCTCATCAAGCCATGCTGAGGCAGCATCCCACATGCCGCAACTAGAAGGACCCACAACGAAGAATATACAACTATGTACTGGGGGGCTTTGGGGAGAAAAAAAAAAGGAAAAAAAAATAAAAGCAAAAAGTTAAAAAAAAAAAAAAGCTTAATCTTGAAAAAGACAAAAATAAAAAATAGCTTATCTTCCTTTAGCTGCCCCATATATTTTGTTCACTTTTCCACAACAGCATCTCTTTGTTCAACCTAGTATAAAAAAACACTTAGGTTTTGCCACTTCTCAGGGTCTTCATTTTCCAATGGGGCCTCCCATGTACACATAAAAATCTGTGTGCTTTCCTCCTGTTAATCCGTCTTATGTCAATTTAACCCTCAGGCCCAGCAGGAGACCCTAAGAGGGTAGAGGTAAACTTTGGTCTTCCCAACACCTATTCAAATAAAACCGCAATGCCTGAGATCTTATCAACCCGTAAACATTTTTAAAAAATATTCCTGGGGCCTCACCGTGGCCGAGTGGTTAAGTTCGTGTGCTCTGCTGTGGTGGTCCAGGGTTTTGCAGGTTCAGATCCTAGGCACAGACATGGCACCACTCGTCAGGCCACGTTGAGGTGGCGTCCCACATGCCACAGCTAGAAGGACCTGCAACTAGGATATACAACTATGTACCAAGGGGGATTTGGGAAGATAAAGCAGAAAAAAATATATATACATATTCTTTGTCTAGGGGGCCTGCCCCGTTTGCATGCTCCACTGCAGCAGCCCAGGGTTTCGCCGGTTGGGATCCTGGGCGCAGACATGGCATCGCTCGTCAGGCCACGTTGAGGCGGCATCCCACATGCCACAACTAGAAGGACCCACAACTAAAATATACCACTATGTACCAGGGGCCTTTGGGAAGAAAAAGTAAAAATAAAATCTTTTAAAAAAAATTCCTTGTCTTTTTTTTAGTGGAAATGTAATTTTAAAAAACATGTAGTTTGGTGAAACCGCAATACAAAGATGTAAAGTATAGCTATAAAGCACCTTCAGTATCAACTCTCACATCATTTTGATAAAGCTCAAAGGGGCAGAAATCATTGTCAGTCAAGCTAAAGCCTAGGTATCCAGACCTCTTCCACTTAATTTAACTGCAATTAACCCTAAGTATTGATTTATGGTGTAATTATAGAAGAAAATTTGACCTTCTTAGTTTTAGAACGCAGAAACCTGTACCAAATGCTTTGAGAACTGATCTAATTATTTTTTAACATACCCAGATGCTGATTTTCATTTAAAAAAAAAAATCAGTATCCACACCTCTATAGTTTCAAAGAACGGACCTGTCAAGATCTTTGATGTGTGATTCCTTCCTCTAAAATTCCAGACATTCTTGTCTCCAGGCATCATCACGTGTGGACAGCGCTGTGTGAAAATGGCTGTGGTCTTTGTGGGTTACGTTTGGTTATACCTCACTGGGACACCAGAGGGCGCGCGGAGGGCCGGCACTTGTTTTTCTTTAAATTCCGAATCAAAGTCCGTGCGGAGAACAACAAAAGACCAGGAACACGGGAGCCGGGAGACAAAGGGACAAGGGAAAAAATGCCGCACGCCCAGTTTTACTGGAGCTGCTGTTTGCTTCCTAATCCACCCCGACCTCTGTGCCTTAAAGAACTAAAAATAAACAACTTAAACTGCAAAATAATGAAATCTTCGACTAACAAGGAAAATCACAGTCGAATAGATTAGCACAGGCCTGGGGAAGACTATCACGGGTATGCGTTTGAGCTGTTTGCTTTGCTTGATGTGAGTAACTTGAAAAAAAAATTTTTTATTGTTTGTTCTTCCGAGTTCAAGAATAAAATATGCACATAGTAGAAAATTTAGAAAATAGAGAAAAGCAGAAAGAACAGAGATCTCCCAGATATAACTATTTTTAATATCTTCATGTATTTCTTTCCAGACTTTTTTCAATATTTATAAATGCCTAGAAAAATAGGACTCTGCATGCTATTTTGTGCTGGTTTTCTCATTTACGGTATCATCAGCTTTATTTTTATCAATAAATTCTGATAACATAATCTTGCTAATCACATGAGTGAATCATCAAAGAAGAAATTTCAAAAGCGCTTCAGGCAGCATTTTTCCTAATATAGGAGCAACTTGAATCCAGACCTGCGTCATGCATTTGCAGCAGGAATTTTTCTGCTACTTCGCATTTAGAGGACAAAACAGGTAAAGACTAAAGAAAAGAAGCAGAAACTATTTCACCCCACCCCAAATAAGCAGAATGAATTTGAGGAGAGGATGGGTCACCAGGACTGAGTGGTCCTCCCAGCGGGACCAATGCTTGCCTTAAGGCCAGACAGGTCAATGAGTACTGCTACTAACCCGGGCAGGTCAGCAGGTGGTCAGCAAGAGGAGGAGGAAAAAAGTCAGGAACAGGGAGGTCACTGACCTTGAGGCTTGGGGCCAATGCCAGCAGGTGGTTTCCTCAAAGGACAGGGAGCTGAGATCAGCCCAGGGGGAGGTAACCACAGGGAAGGTGATGCCAAGGTCTGATGCCCTGGAAGCCACCAATGATCACCTCATCACTAAGCCCACAGATTGCCTTGCATTACTGCAACCAATGAAAGGAAGAATAGTGACGTTCTCAGCCTTGAGAACTGAGGTAAATCACTGGAGCTCTCTGGGCCTCAGTTTCCTTATTTGTATAACTGAACAGGTCAAAAAGATCTGTAAGGTTCCTGCCAGCTCCTCAAGTCTGTGATTTTTAACTCTCCCCAACTGTGCACTCCAACGAACGAGGAAGACACTCCCACCTCCTGCAATCCTCTCCCACAAGCAGCAGCCCCTCTCCTTGCTGTTTCCGAAACCCCCACATACTCTTTCACAAGCTCTGAGCCTTTGTATTAGTGCTTCCCCCTTCCAGAAGTGCTGGAAAACCTTTCCCCTTCTCTTTCAAAGTTCATCATCCTTTGAATGCCCAGCTGAAGGGTAGGTTTTCTTCAACCACCCCCAGCAGAGCTAGTCCTTCCTTCTCTATAAGCCCATAGTGTTTTGCACGTACTTCCATGACTTTGTACTTGTGTGACCTTAACCTTCTTATGCCTCAGTTTCCTCATCTGTAAAAGGGGGAGAATTATTGTACCAAATTCATAGGATTGTAATAAGGATTAAATGGTTAAGATATGCAAAGCACTTAAAACAGAGCCTACACGTAGTAGCTCTCAACAAGCATGCACTGTGCCTCCTTTATAGCATTTAAATTGTATTAGAACCATCAGTTAGAGTCCTGCTCCGCGTGAAATCTCAGTTCCTCGACGGCAGTGAGTCTTACTCATATCTTTGTCCCCAGTGCCTAGCTCCATACCTGGCACAAAGAACAAATCAATAAAGGTTTATTTTTTAATGAAAAGGAAAAGACAAGACTGAAGTGTTGATTGAACTGGAGGGAGACAGACTTCTCTGCCTCTCACTTTTAACTTTGGGTTATTGTTTAAATAAATTACACTGGGACATAGCAAGTAGGAGCATCCTTAATAGATTTTTTTTTCCATTAATAACTAAACATGTACCCATGTAGGTCTGTCTCCCAGGCCCACATCATAAACATTCACCTTTGCATTTTAATGTTTATGGAGGGTTAGTTCCCATATTTGCATGGGAAGTTTTGCATTTTCATAGATGTACATAATATTTCTGTGAATGAATGATTCCAGAATCCAAAAACTACTCAGGAGCAATTTAGGCTCTTCTTTAGTTATGGAGGAGGAGGGAAGGGAAGAAAGACAGTTGGGTAGTGAACTGGCCCAAATTCTTGTTTACATTATGTTCAAAGGTTGGGTTGAGGAAGTGAGAATAATAGAGAAAAAAGAAAAGAAACAAAAGAAACCAGGTCATGTATGCTCTCATAAAAACAAAAGGTCTTTAAGAGAGTGAAAAGTCAAGACACAGCTCGAGAGAAAATATATCTCCCAAGATATATTATATATGTGTTGGTATATATATTATATATGTGTTGCTATTTCCCAGGATATAAACACACACACAAAGACTACTAATCAGAATCTGTAAAGAACTTTCAAAACTCAATAATAAGAAAACAACCCAATTAAAAAATGGGCAAAGATTTGGAGGCTTAAATAAATCCATGAAAATATGCTCAACATCATTAATCATTAGGGAATGGCATATTACAAAAACTGTGAGATCCCACTACACACCTATTGGAATGGCTCAAATAAAAATATATTTGAAGTACCAAGTGCTAGCAAAGATGCGGAACAAGAAGAACTCTCATATATTGTTTGGTGGGAATGCAAAATGTTACAGCCAGTTAGGAAAACAGTTTGGCAGCTTCTTATAAAGATAAACATACACTTACCCTAAGACTCAGCAGTCCCACTCCTAGGTATTGACCCAAGAGAAATGAACATACACGTCCATACAAAAGCCTGTACACTGATGTTTACAATAGCTATATTTATAATAGTCAAAAACTGGAAACAACCCAAATGTCCGTCAACTAGTGAGTGGATAAACAAACAAACATCCATACAATAGAAAACTAATCAGAAATTAAAAAAGAAAAGCTACCGAAACACACAACAACGTGGATGACTCTCAAAAGCATAATACTAAGGGAAAGAAGGCATATGCAAAAAGCTACAAACTGTACGGCTGCATTAATATGACACTCTGGAAACAGAAATCAGGTCAGTGGTGCCTGGGGCTGGAGGGAGGGGAATGACTGCAGAGGGGCTAAAGGGAACTCTGTGATGGAAGTGATGGGGTGATGGAAATAATCTACAACTTGATTATGGTAAAAACTCATAGAACAGTACACCCGAAAAAGAGTGAATTTTACTGTATGTAAACCCTAAAGATAGAAAGGAAAAGTAGTGAACAACAGGCCAAAAAATGGGGGGTTCTTAACACAGCCTGAGAGACCCTGCATCGTCCTACTCCCATTGGCCTTTCAGCCTCATCTCTCCCATGATCTTCCTCACTCGCCCTAGCCACTTCAGCCTTCTGTCAACCCCTCTGCTCACCACATTCTCTCAGTTCCAATAACCTTTGCACATCCGGTTCCATCTACTGAAAAAGCTCTTCCCTCCACATCTTCTTCTTAGTAACTGTCACAGTTGTAATTTTACTTTGTTGTTGTTGTTGTTATTCTTTGATTAGTGATATGTGTCTCCTCCACTAAAATGAAAGCTCCCTGAGGTCAGGTTCTTTGTTCATCACTCTATGTCCAGCACCCAGCACTGTGCTTGGCCTATACAATGAGTATATGCAACTGCCTACTCAATGTCTCAACCTTCACACATCCAAAACTGAAATGCTTATTAGCCCTCCAAATACTATTCCACATGCAGAGATGCCATGTTGCACAATTCGAAGGAATGCCATCCACAGAACATCTATGTGAATGGTCCCCTGCCTCCTCCCCAGCGTGCCCTTCACATGGACTATCAATATGGACGGTGCCCTCTGAAGTTGTGCATTCTTCTTCTTCACCTCAGTTGATGGCAACACTATTCTTCCAGTTGTTCACGCCAAAAATTTTGGAAGCATCTTTGATTCCTCTTTTACTTTCACATCTCAGATTTACTCTATTAGGAAATTCTATTGGCTCTACCTTCAGAATAAATCAGCACGTCTCACATTCTCCACCACTCCCACTCTAGCCTCAACTACCATCATCTCCCATGTGGATTATTGCAGCAGACCTCTTTGGTCTCCCTGCTTCTGCTCCTGCCCCCCTACAGCCTCCTCTCAACCCAGTAGCCAAAAACCCTTTAAAATGTAAATCAGACTGTGTCTCTTCTCTGTCCTAAACCCTATAGTAGCTCCCCATTTCCCCTCAAAATAAAAGGCAAAGTCTTTACAATGACTTCTAAGGCCCCATGTGCCCCCCAGGTAGCTATCTGACTACATCCCTTACTTCTTTCGAGTCTGTTCAAATGTTACCTTCTTAAAAACGAGGCCCTCGGACCATTCTGTTTAACTTACCACTCTCCTTTACCATGCTGTCTTTTTCTATTTCCACTCTTGTCACCATCTAACATATTTATTATATTCCTTGTTTACTTATATCTTCCTTCTGCTAGGATATAAGTGCCATGAGAACAAGATTTACACCTTTAAACCTCTCCATGCATCTAAAACAATGTCTGGCATATTGTAGGTTCAACAGTGAATAAGTAACTACAGTGCCTGCTAAGTAATTAGAGTAAACGTTAATACGTACAGGAACAAGTGTGACACATATGTTGATACTAGTAACAAAGTTTGTCTCTCCATACATATTTATTTGTTAATATACCTGTATGTGGAATTGTGCAGCAAAGTGAACCCTGCACAAGATTTGCAGTCAAGGCTTGGGTGATTCCTGGCCTTTCACCACTTCCTACCTGTATGACTCTGCACAAAATTCTCTTTATCCACCTGTAAAATAGGGATAGAACATTTGCCCTATTAACCTCCCGAGGCTGTTGAGAAGATGAAATGAATGTGAATGGTTTTGTAAGCTGTGATAAGCTATCCAGTTATTTAGGTAGTGCAAGATTTGACACTTTCAATAATATCGACTGCCATCATGCTATTTACCTCCAAAGAGAGTTCTGTGCCTTCTGTACTGCCAGTCAGATTTTAACCTTTACTTCCTCCCGGTGCTGACAGGGAGGAATCTCTGAGCTCACCTACCCTGTTCAGGTTAACTACCCCCTCTTTTCCTTTCCATTTTAGGAAGATGGACAGCAGGTGCTCAGTTCTCTGCTCTGCGGTCTTTGCTGACTCAGGTTGCTTCTTCATTTCCCTAGGGAGAAGAAAAAAGAAGAGCAGTAACAACACACGTATGAGCACTGGCATAGCTTTACCAGAGCTTCAGTGGAGAGGATGGTGTCTCTTCTGAAGGGACAAAGATTAAGCCTCTTCTCCCACGGTGTGGAACATGGGGGTAACGGGCTGTTCAGACTTGGGTTCCCACTGCCCTACAGCTTTGCCAACTGAGAGACCTGGGGCAAGTCCCTTCAGTCTTACCAGGAACAGGACATCACCATACTTATCGCAGTGCCCTTTGGACCTCACACGAGTTACTGGAGGGTCAGAAGTAGAAGGGAGTTCCAAGAGACTGAGTTTTATTAAGGCTTTTGCTGTATTTAAGAGTAAAAAAAAATGCCAAACAAGCCTCAGAAATTGCCATTTGTTTAATGTCTGCATTAAACAAATAATCTCTTTCATCAGATGGAAAACACCATGTAAGTTATGATCTATAAAAATATATTAATTCATAGTACACTATAAGGAATGGATTCCTTATGATACACAAGTTTAAGTTCTATAATGAAAACTTTCAATCACATCAATTTGTCACTCTATGAATTAGCTTATTTAGAAATAATGTCAAAAGTTTATATGTGAGGCCCTCCTGATTCCCCTGGGAACAGGTCTGATCCTGTTTATGAAAAGGCTCAGGATGATACAAATTATTCTGTTAGTGCACTTTCCTAACCCTATGTTTAATCAATGGAATATCCTTGTTTTGAATTATTTAAATATATTATTATTTAACCACTTATGTGTTTGTGATTTTCAAGTAAATTATAGACGCCTCAGGAAAGAGACCCAAATACAGAAAAAATCAGCTAATAAAATTTCATTTGGCTGCAGCTGGTCAAAGCATGAGCAAGAGTTTTGTGTCACGAAAGCTTACAAGTTGTTTGAAGAGGCACCGGACTGAGGGACAACCCCGACTGCTCCGGACATCTGGCAACCATATGATATCCTTGAACTTCGACTTCAGAATGAATACATAAATTTGTGAAGGTAAAGCTCTGCTTCAACTCACATACTCTTGGTCACGATTAAATAAAAACCTCCCGCCAGAAACCTAAATCATCTGGAAAGCCTAAGGAGTCCCAGGAAACTGTTTTCAACACGTCACCATCACTAAAACTGGAAGTGCATTTTTTTCCTTTTTTCTATACCATTTACTCTTCCCACCAACGAAGACTACAAGGTGCCCAAGGAGGCTAATGAGAGGAGCGGCGTCAAGTGTCAGGTTTTCACACTTCGGGAGAGTGAACAGAAGGCGGCCGAGCCTGAGGGGAGGGAATCTTCTCTTACCTTGAAGAGGGACTTGGGAGAACGTTGGATATCAGCTCCTCGTTAGTATAGTGGTTAGTATCCCCGCCTGTCACGCGGGAGACCGGGGTTCAATTCCCCGACGGGGAGGTTGGCTGTCTTTTACTAACACAGAGCATTTTCTGTGTAAAATTCAACTGCGTTACTCTCCTGACAAACACAAGATGCTTCTATGTTTTGTAAGTGCTTCTCTTCAAAATGGTGACTTTTAAGCTTAATGCTCACCGTGAAATAAAAGCGCACCCTGAGAGTAAAATGCTTTATATCGTTGGAAGAAGAAGGAAGACAACGTTAGCCCTCAGCGTCGCTTCCAGCCGCTAGCTGGCAAAGGTCTGCGCGTGCGCAGTGGCGCCCCGCCAAATTCCAACTCGAGGTCACGAACTCAGCGCGCGGAACCCGTCGGGGGAGGGGAGAGTGAGGGCGAAGTCTCCGCCCCTAACCGGGCGGGTAAGAACGGAAATCGCTTGCTGAAGAAGAGGAAGGACCGATTTCCTTTGACGCTTGGGACCAGACCAAAAGGGAAAGCCCATTTTCCCGCCTCCGCTGGTTCCATCCCTACTTAGGTAGAAGGCTAAGTGTCAGGAAAATTTGGGCGCTAACGGAATCAGTCTCCAGCTCCAAACTGTACTGAGTGGAGGGGCAAGGAAAGAATGCAAGAAAGGTCCGGAGAGCCCGGAAGAGCCGCCATGTTACCGGAGTCCTAAGACACTGCGGGAGCCAGTGCCCAGCAGGACCTCGTGGCGCAACGGTAGCGCGTCTGACTCCAGATCAGAAGGCTGCGTGTTCGAATCACGTCGGGGTCACGGCTTTTTATTTCTGAAGTCGCTGGCTTGTGTAAACCTAGGTGTATTCCCGCCAATTTTTGAAAAATATCTTTCGTTTTAGGATTAAATGTTCATTGATCAAATGTTATCCTAGTAGTACTTTGCAAAAAGACAAGGCTAACTGAATATCGTAGAGCCTGAAACCTTATGTTTTTATGTACCCTCAGGCCTTGTAAAGTGAGTTTTCTGTCGCTTAACGTTCGTAATGTGTAGAAATGAGGACTTGCTGTTGTGCATTAGTGGGCATACCTATCCACGGTGGTCCTTCACAGGAAATGTACAATGCACTGTACAAGCTGTTTTTCCAAAACCGGTTTTAGACCCGTTCGCCTTTTGAAAGCAAGTACGAGACAGCACAATTTCTAACTCTGAATGTTGTAATAGTTTACGTGTTTTAGTCCCGTGAGCCAGGCACTGTAAACAACCCCAAAACGTAATTAAATGTCACTTTTACAGGTGAAACTGTGGCACACAGAGGAATAGTGACCTGCCAAGGGTCGCCCAGGATTCCAAACCAGGTGAATGACTCCAGATTCCTCTCTTTACTAAATGTTTTACAATAAAAGTGGAAGCAAACTCTTGAAAGAAAGTGCTAGAAGCCGTTGGACTTAAGTGATACACCAATACGCTTTTTATGTTTTCCCCTATTCATGCGAATGGTAACAAGTGAGATACCACTTTCAACTATTAATCACTTTAATACGAGGAAGCAGAGCTTACTCATTCACCTTTGTAAGCTCCAGCGTTCTCAGTACTGAGGAGTTTCTTCAAGGCATGTGTCAAACATTTGTTTTGACACAAAAATCACAAAAAATCAATAGCAAGACTATGAGAAATTAATATTTTTAGGTCTTTATTGGATATGTTCCATGAAAGTCCCTGAATTTTTCTTAGTGTTTTGAAAATATGTTAACTTATTATAATTCAACCTATTATAGCAGTATATATTGTATTTGCACTTCATATAGTTTATTCTTCCCTCTATTTGATTAGATTGAGATTAGATCAATTTCAACTGTTTTTATGGACCACCAACTCTGATGAGTCTGATGCTGTGCTAAGCACTGAGGAAAAGGATACACAGTAAAAATGGGCTTTTTCGAGCAACAGGAGACATATATTAAGTAACCAAATACCATAATATGTTGGGATAAGTGCCATGAAAGTAGCATGAACAGAGTGGTGTGGGGTCCTAAAATAGGGACGTTAACTCTGCCTTGGTTAGTACAAGAAGGCCTCATAAAGGAGGATCCGGAAAAATAATGAAAAGTTTCCTCTGTGACTTTAAGGCATTGTTTACCTAATGGACGTATTTGAATGCCTTCTATGAGTCAAGTATTGTCACTTAATATCCCTGGAATCTGATTTCTTCAACTTTAAAAGTAGAGGTTGAGGTTTGTATTAGTTTGCTAGGGCCACCATAGCAAAATACCACAGGCTGGGTGGCTTAAATAACAGAAATTTACTTCTGGGCTCTCAATATTGTTCCATTGATCTGTGTGTCTGTTTTTGTGCCAGTACCATGCTGTTTTGGTTACTGTGGCTTTGTAGTATAATTTGAAATCAGGGAGTGTGATACCTCCAGCTTTGTTCTTTTTTCTCAGGAATCCTTTGGCTATTCGGGGTCTTTTGTTGTTCCATATAAATTTTAGGATTCTTTGTTCTACTTCTGTGAAAAATGTTGTTGAAACTTTGATAGGGATTGCATTGAATCTATAGATTGCTTTAGGAAGTATGGACATTTTAACGATGTTAATTCTTCCAATCCAAGAGCACGGAGTATCTTTACATTTCTTTGTCTCTTCTTTGATTTCTTTCAACAATGTTTTATAGTTTTCAGTGTACAGATCTTTCACCTTTTTGGTTAAGTTTATTCCTAGGTATTTTATTCTTTTTGTTGCAACTGTAAATGGGATTATAGTCTGAATTTCTCTATCTGCTACTTCATTGTTAGTGTATAGAAATGCAACTGATTATTGTACATTGATTTTGTATCCCACAACTTGACTGTATTTCTTTATTATTTCTAAAAGTTTTTTAGTGGACTCTTTAGGGTTTTCTAGATATAAAATCATGTCATCTGCAAAGAGTGACGGTTTCACTTCTTCTTTTCCAATGTGGATCCCTTTTATTTCTTTTTCTTGCCTGATTGCTCTGGCTAGGACTTCCAACACTATGTTAAATAAGAGTGGTGACAGTGGGCATCCTTGTCTGGTTCCTCTTCTTAGAGGGATAGCTTTCAGTTTTTCTCCATTGAGAATGATATTTGCTGTGGGTTTGTCATATATGGTCTTTATTATGTTGAGGTATTTTCCTTCTATACCCATTTTATTTAGAGTTTTTATCATAAATGCATGCTGTATCTTGTCAAATGCTTTCTCTGCATCTATTGAGATGATCATGTGATTTTTATTCTTCATTTTGTTAATGTTGTGTATCACGTTGATAGATTTGCGGATGTTGAACCATCCCTGCATCCCTGGAATGAAACCCACTTGATCATGATGTATGATCTTTTTAATGTATTGTTGTATTCGATTTGCTAGTATTTTGTTGAGGATTTTTGCATCGATGTTCATCAGTGATATTGGCCTGTAATTTTCTTTTTTTGTGTTGTCCTTGTCTGGTTTTGGTATCAGGATAATGTTTGCTTCGTAGAAGGAGTTAGGAAGCCTCCCCTCCGCTTCAATTTTTTGGAAGAGTTTCAGAAGGATAGGTATTAAGTCTTCCTTGAATGTTTGGTAGAATTCACCAGGGAAGCCATCTGGTCCTACTACTCAGCCATAACAAATTACGAAATCCAGCCATTTGTGACAACATGGATGGACCTTGAGGGTACTATGCTGAGTGAAATAAGTCAGAGGGAGAAAGTCAAATACCATATGATCTCACTCATAAGTAGAAGATAAAAATGACAAAAAAAAATACACATAGCATTGGAGATTGGACTGCTGGTTACCTTTGGGGAAGGGGGGAGGGGGGAGGGCAAACGGGGTGATTAGGCTCACATGTGAGGGGATGGACTATAATTAGTGTTCGGGTGGTGAACATGATGTAATATATCCAGAATTCGAAATATGATATACATCCGAAAAAGAAAAAAAAGCACAGATAAAAAAAAAAGGTGGAAAAAAAATAACAGAAATTTATTTTCTTACAGTTCTGGAGGCTCAAAGTCCAAGATCAAGGTGACAGCAGCATTGGTTTCTTCTAAGACCTGTCTTTGGCTCATAGATGACCATCTTCCTGCTATGTCCGCACATAGTCTTTTCTCTGTACTCACATATCCCTGATGTCTCTCTCCATGTCCAGGTTTCCACTTAAGAAGACACCAGTCGTATTGGATTAGGGCCTACTCTTATGGGCTCATTTTAACTTAATCACCTGTTAAAAGGCCTCATCTCCAAATACAATCACCTTTTGAGGTTTAGGGCTTCAACCTATGAATTTTGAGGGGCACAATTCTGCCCATAACAGAAGTCATGCTCTTTCTTCCCTCTGGCAACCTTTGCATATACAGCATGTATCTGTAACAGTACTTACTTGATCTTAGCTCGGACCAAGCATGTTATCTCATTTGTACAAAATCATACTCTTGTGAGGTAGACAGCAGGTTGTATTACCTTGTTAATCATTTTGTTATGGCAGCCCTAGCAAACGAATACAGTACAGCTTCTTTGGAGAACTACTAGTTCTCCAGTATGGCTGGAGAGAAATAAACCTGTAGAGGTAAACAGGAGTGAGATCACACAGGACCTTCTGTGCCATTCTAACTCAGATTTTATTCTGAAGGCAATGCTGAGCTATTATTCAAGAATGTGACAAGGTCAGCTGGAGCTTTACAAAGAATGTAAAAAGTGGCCTGGAGCTGTTGTTTCTGGACCAGCATCCTGGGAACAAGTTAGAAATATAAATTTCCAGGCCCCACCCAAGACCTACAGACTCAGAAAACTGTGGGAGTGGGCCCTACCAACGTGAGTGTTAACCAGGTGCTTCGGGTGATTCTGATGCAAGCTAAAAGCTGAGAACCATGGGCCTATAAAGCAAGGCCAGGTGGGAGGTCTCCCTTACCTCACAAGGTTGTTTAGAGAATCAAATAAGATAAAATACATAAAAATGTTTTATAAGTTGTAAAGCGGTATATATGTATGTCATTAATACTGCTATAGCTCTAAAACTGTCACTTCATGCTTCTTTCTCAAGACTGGACATCTGTAGTTTCTTAGAATAGCCCATTTGCTGACTTGCTACAACTTTGAAACAACCGAAAATCCAACACCTCATTTTAACTTAAACGTCTACAATCATTGTCTAGGAATCATGTGAGAAAAGAGGCTCTGGAATAGACAGATCCATATTTGAATTCCTAAATCCTGACGCTTAATAGTTCTGTGATTTTGTTCTATTTCACTAAAAAATTTCCAGTCTATCATTTATTCCTCCAAGTGGATTTATCCACTAGTTTAGAATACTCTGAGCATTTATTTCACCTGTTTAATAAGCTAGCTTTCTCTTTTGAGGTTATTTTTAATCAGTTACCTATCTGGATTCACTGATAAAATGGAGGCTTTGGAAAAGCAAAACTGAAAGACTCGGAATCCTGATAAACCAAGTGATTCACCAATTTCTCACACTAATTCAAAAAGAAAAGTAGCTATGGTTATAAATTCATGTGTTCATTGTACAAATCTTGGGAAATATAGAAAAACATAAGGAAGAAAATAAAAATCACTTGTGCCCCACCACCTACAGGAAACTACTACATTTTAGTCTATATTCATTTAGTCTTTTTTCTTTGTATATATATTTTTTAATTATTTATTTATTTATTGAGGAATATTAGCCCTGAGCTAACTGCTGCCAATCCTCCTCTTTGTGCTGAGGAAGACTGGCCGTGAGCTAACATCCATGCTCGTCTTCCTCTACTTTATACATGGGATGCCTACCACAGCATGGTCTGCCAAGCGGTGCCATGTTTGTACCTGGGATCCGAACCGGCAAACCCTGGGCTGCCAAGAAGTGGAACATGCAAACTTAACCGCTGAGCCACTAGGCCAGCTCCCATTCTTTGTATATATTTTTAAAGATACACATATCCATACACACTTCAGTTCTTTGTAGAACTGAGATCTTACTCTACTAATGGTTCTCAATATTTCTTACTTAATGCTGTATTGGGAACATTCTCTCATATTCTTTTTTTTTTTTTTTTTCTGAGGAAGATTAGCCCTGAGCTAACATCTGCTGCCAATCCTCCTCTTTTTGCTGAGGAAGACTGGCCCTGAGCTAACATCCGTGCCCATCTTCCTCTACTTTATATGTGGGATGCCTACCACAGCATGGCTTGCCAAGCAGTGCCATGTCCACACCCGGGATCTGAACTGGTGAACCCTGGGCCACCAAAGCACAACGTGTGAACTTAACTGCTGTGCCACCAGGCCGGCTCCTCATAGTCTTAAATAAATGTCGAGAACATAGTTTTTATGACCATGTAGTATTTCATCATCCGCTCTGTTTGAGGTGACACCCTTAAATTCACAACCAAGCTCTATGCAAAACAGGATAATGAAAAACAAAAAAGTCAGCTGTGCATTAATAACATTAAGAACTTCAAAAAGGGAAATGAAGGCTGTTATCCAAGTGATTTAGGAAAAAAAGTTTTGGAAGAGTTTTCTGACAAAGTAGTTGCATCAATTTTATTTTTTAAAGCTGTGGCTTCACATATAAATATCTTTCCACTGTTTCCCAAGGTTTTAGGCATCAATGCTGTAACATTTATTTTTTTTTTATTTTTTTTTTCTGCTTTATTTCCCAAACCCTCCCGGTACATAGTTGTATATCTTAGTTGCAGGTCCTTCTAGTTGTGGGATGTGGGACGCCGCCTCAACGTGGCCTGACGAGCGGTGCCATGTCCGCACCCAGGATCCGAACCCTGGGCCGCCGCAGCGGAGCGCGCAGACTCAACCACTCGGCCACAGAGCCGGCCCCAATGCTGTAACATTTTAAAGAGTTTTTTAACCTAATACATGTTTCAACATAAAAGATAAAAACTAATTTTGTTAGATGAATATAACACAAAACACCAAGTTTTTGTTTTTATTAATACAGGAATTTCACAGATGACTGAAAGAATCAACTCCTTGAAGAGAGAAGGATGAGATCCACAGCACAAGTGGTGGAATTCACTCTGCTATAAGGATGCTTCTTCCATAGAAATAAGAAAGATGCAAGAGAAAATGAGGCAAGGTCACCAGCTGAAAATAGAAAGAGGTGGTGGAAAGGGATGTGAGAGATTTGAGGAGAGAAGTGAAGCTATGAATGTTTAATCCAGAGAATGAATAGCTTTGCCAGCCAGTGTTGAGTGCTCCTGTGAGGTCTGAGGTTATGAATTAAAACCAGTCAGCCTGCTGTAGGACTTTTCTCCAGTAATCTTTGCTACTTGAGTACAAGCAGTAATAAAGTTTGTTCCAGCAGTTTTCGGTCCAAGCAAGGTTGAGGTTCTTCCAAGCAAGAGAGCATAGAGACATTGAAGTAAGAGAGTTCAAAATGTTTGCAAAAGAGCGAGTAGAAGGATTGATTAGAGAATCTAAGTCAACTGAGTTGGAAATTATGATATGACGGCAGAAGCTGGATAATAGATTTTTTTAAGTGTTTGGGTTAATGGATTAGGGGTCTCAGGTCAGTGAGCATACAATAAATAAGCTGAGAGGAAATGGCAAGTGACTGACAAGTGGGATGCTTGAAGTTGAGATTTAGAAGGTAAAAGTTATTGATGACAAGGTTCAGAGTCTCACCACTGGGGTGGATGGATAAGACGGAATAGAGGAAAAAAACGTTGGACATGAAAAGGTCTAAGATCTAAGAGGCCAAGTGTTGGTGTTGCATGGGTCATCTACAAGGGTGTTGAATTCACACAGAATGTAGACAAGAGGGATGGTGAGGAAAACCTAGAGCAAGGAGCAAGTCTCTAATTTCTGAGGGACAGTGGCCAGGAGGTTGATAAACTGTAGCAGTAAAGATGGTTGAGGGTGATTTAGCCAGATAACATGAACTTCAAATGATTTTGGAGGAGAATTTGGAAGAAGTAATCATGAACAAAGAGGACACCCAAACTCTATAGCCCAGCCTCTTAGCCTTAAGGTACACAGAGTAAGAGAAAAAATAACCTCTACTTTGAAGCTCTACAGCAGTTAAAAGCAAAAATCACTTTCATCACTAAAAATAGTGGTGCTGGGGATATACCTGGATGCATCTAGGATGATATAAAATCTAAATTTGATAATTTATGACTTTGTGGATGATGGAGAAAGGCAATCTCACTTTCTGATAGCTCATGACATCAACTGTCTCATGAGAAATGTAGAATCTGCAAGTAGCCTCCTGTTGATACTGTCCAGGGATAGAAAAGGAGAGAGAATTAGTGAAAGGGGATTCAAATGATATTCTTGCTCAGGGAACATTCATTTCAGGCATCTAGAATGCAGTTCTTTGTCAATTATATTATCTTTAATGTTGGCCTATAGGGCATAGTACTGTGTCTATTTAAAAGAACGTTCCAATTCAAGTATGGTTTTTTTTTTTCGCTTGTGGTAAGAAGTAGGATGAATTTTTGTCTCTAGGGATTAAATTGCCTGCAAAGTTTCTGGTGCCAAGGCCCCATGAAAAAAGCAGAGTTCCAGTGCAGCACACTCAGTTGGCTCTCTCAGGTGGCTCTGTGACTCCAGCATTGTACTCTACTCACATCAAATTTAGGGAGAAGACTAATCTTTCAGTGTTAGCGATGCCTCCTCCTCTGAGGATCCACTTGAGGGACCTAGCTGCCCAAGTATCCTTAGACCATGGGGCATCTGTCAGAGCCTGGGGACCCTTTATGTACTCCAGCCTAGTCAGATCAAATCTAGCCCTGGCAACTCTGACCCTTTTCAGTTACAGCAGCAAAACCTACCTCTTACTATTAGTACAGTCAGGCTAGAGCCAAACTCTTCATCTAGCAAGGTAACGATTTAACAGGATAACCTGCTAATTCAAATAGGGTAGAATAAACCCATCAACTGTGGCCTTGCAGAGATTACACTCAGGACTTTGTTGCTCTGCCCATTATAATTTGAGACTAACCTGGAAGAAATAACTGAACTGTGGCAGGCACACTGCAGATTGGGACCATCCCACATGCATTAATTACATTTGTGGGGTTACCAGTCACTGCAAAATCATGGTGCTGTGCCTGTCAGTTCAGTTCCCCCTCTGAAGATAAAAACACTTGCCGATGTGCCCAGAGAAGCTGTTGGGTAGCAGGCAGGGGAATGAGGTAACTTTACAAGTCACCCTAAAAATCTACAAAACAACCTGCTAATTAAAATACAATTTTTAATTTGCATTACTGAGCTTAATACTGTTGCTTAAATATATGTAAATACTGAGGTTTTTAGAAAAGAATGAATAATATAAAATTGCCTCTAGGGAAATAATCCATCATTAAGAAGAATAATGTCGCCTCAATTTGAACAAAATAGAATGGCTTAATCCATAGGAAACATTTTCAGTGAAGGCGTTTGTTTTAACTTTTCTCGAACTTAACCATGCAGAAATCAGACAAATACTTAAAAAGAATTTTAAGCAGTTTATAAAGGCATAGTTTAGAGGTCAGAATTTGGGAAAACGATTAAGACACTCTAAATCCAAGGTTAGTTTCTTCCCTTTCTTGGAAGAAAGCATCTTGAAACATATGTAAATTCGTAAGAAATACAAATATTTGTCATCAATGGTATTTGTTTTCAGGAAGATATTTTAATTGTAGCAAATTTCTGAGACTCTACCAGGTTTTAATTTGGATCAGTAATACGGGTTTGATTAGGGCTCCTAGCCTAATTATAAGTCACTAGGCTTCCTCCGCGATTAAAATCTAGTATGCACCTGTTATCTTAAGTTGCCCAATAAGGCATTTCTAAATGTTTCGTTTCCTCTTGTTGTATTATTAAACATCAGGTTAGATGAAGTTACAGTAAAATACTTACGGGCGAAGGGATCTAACCCAGAGGCGGCTCTAAACAAAAATGCAGTGGAGCCCCAACTAACCGTTCAAGTGAAATAATTTAGAAATGCCCCAACCTTTGGGGTAAGAAGCAAATGGCATATTTGATGATACAATTTTGTCACAAATTCGAGGGCAGTTTCAAGCGTCCAGTGGTCGAGGTCTGGCTTTTCCTGGATTTCGGGAACAAAAGAAGCACTTGCAAGCGGACCCGGGGATTTAACCGCCTGCTCTCCCCTTCCGTCCCCGCAAGTCAATCATATCGGGGAGGACGAGCGCCTACAAACACGCCTCGCCTCTGGTCTTTCCCTTCGGGGCTGGCGTTTGGGAAGGGAGAACCAGTGACTATTATTCGGTAGATCAACGTCCCGGGACCGAGCAAGGCCCAGCCCCGGGTCCTCGCAGCCGCCACGAAACTCGGCCCGTTCGTAGGCGACCGACACGGGATAGGAAAGCTTCTCAAGCAGGGGAGGGAGAGGAAACCGCGCACAAAAGAAGTACGGCGAGTCCCTTATCAGCGTGGAAGAGGAAGGGTGGGGAAAAGAGAAACAGAAACAGGCCGGGCGCCCGGCAGCCCGCCCGAGCGGCTTTTAAACTGCGTTTCTACAACCTCTCACACGGCGCCGCGGCTAATGGAACCCGCGCGAGGCGTCCCGCCAATCAGCGCCGCGCTTCCTCCCGCCACGGGCCAATGGCGGCGCGCGTTCTTGGGGCGTGGGCGAAGCAGGCTGCTCGCCCCTGCCTGTAGTGTGTGGGCTCGGGTTGCTGCGGGCTCCTAGCTTGGCCGCGCTTGCTTCGCGCTTCTGCCGCGGGGCCTTTGTGTCCGCCTCTTGCTTCGCTTTGTGTGTGCGAGTTTTGCCGTGCTCCGCGGCGCTCCTCCCGGGCGGCCGCCGTGAGGCTCGGAGGCGGCGGCGTCCCCCTCCTCCGGGTAAGGAACGAACGCGCCGGCGTGAGCGGCGGGAGTGAGGGCTGCGGGAAGGGGATTCGCCGCCGAGATGCCGGAGTTCCTGGAAGACCCCTCGGTCCTGACGAAAGAGAAGTTGAAGAGTGAGTTGGTCGCCAACAATGTGACGCTCCCGGCCGGCGAGCAGCGCAAAGACGTGTACGTGCAGCTCTACCTGCAGCACCTCACGGCGCGCAACCGGCCGCCGCTCGCCGCCGGCGCCAACAGCAAGGGGCCCCCGGACTTCTCCAGCGACGAGGAGCGCGAGCCCACCCCGGTCCTCGGCTCCGGGGCCGCAGGCCGCAGCCGTACCGCCGTCGGCAGGGTAAGGACGCCCGGCTGGGGCCACAAAGGCGGGCGGTTGTCGCCCCCCGCGCGCTCGTAGCCCGCCCTCCTTGGCGCCTCCTCGGCGGCGGGCTGTCCCCGCGCGCGACCAGCAGGCTGGCGTCTGGGTCTGCTGGTGTCGGCTCTCCGGCCGGGAGGGTCTGGAGAGGGGAGTCCCGGAGTCGGGCTGCAGGGCTGGCGTCTTGGCCGTTGCGTGGCTGGAGGTGTGAGGTTGCCCTTTGCTCTAGGGTTGCGCGCGGGTGGTGTCCCTGGACCCCCGGCCGCCGGGCGTGGGTGTTTAGAGCGGGACTTCCGTGCCCTTCTCGAAAGCCCTGGGGAGGGTCAGCCCGAAACTGCTGTAGGTTACGATCGAGCGTTTTCCCGCTTTATTAACTGAAATGACTAGTAACCGAGTCTCAGAGCGCTCCCTGGAGGGCAATTTGTGACATACTAATTTCTAACCAAAATTTGAAATAAATTCCCGCCTTTTTATGTTTTTGCATATGGAGGGCTTTTTGAACCGTTTATGTTTTTCTTGTTTGTTACTCTTTTCCAATCGCAGGCCATCTTTCGGCGGGGCAGTGTTGCTCTGAATGAAAGTGGGCATTTAAAAGTACATCTGTAAGCGCTTATCATAGACCCTCATATTTGAAAATTGTAATTAGGATTTAGGTTTGCGGATTTTTTTTTTTTCCTTTTTGGTAAATTTTGCATGAGAAAAGGAAAGACTTCGGAACTAGGAGAAATGTCATGACATTCTGATATATCAGTATTGCAATTTGAAATATCTAATCCCTGATAAATCTCAGATTGGCTCCAGCAAACGCATATTTTGTTTAGGAATAGTTTGTTTTTTGTTCTGTGGAGTTTTATATGCTATTTTTGTTGGTGTAAATCTGCTTTGTTACCAGACTTCAAATCGTAATAGAATGTAGTTAAAAGTAGTGATTGGTGTAACGGACAGTGCTGTGTAAAACATCCCATGTTGAGTCAGGAGTTGTTGCTAACTGATTACTAGGATAACTCAAGAAAGTGCTGCTTCTTTCAAGGTTATGTTGTTTAACTTTAGTTTTTAAAAACCTATCTGATGTGTTTTCTGGACTCCCCAGGTGGAAATGAAAGGAAAGTGTAATAGACACATGTAAATTTAATTGAAAATCTTAGCTTGGCGTTTAGAGAAACTGAAAATCTTGTGTCTTAAGTCAGTGCTTGGCACATAGTAGTGCCAAATAAGTATTTGTTCACTAAATAAAAGACAAATTCACTTTATTGTTTTTGAGGTCTTGTTTTTGTGGCTTTGAAGAAAGCCACTTTACTCCTCCAGAATAAACAAATTTACTTTTTAAAGTAAAGCCTGACTTTTATCTGTTTTTTTCCAACCCCTCTGAAAAAGAAAGTAGTCTTCTATTTTAGTAAAGATCTGGTTGAAAATGAAATATTTTCCATTTAAATCAGCACACTGTTTAAAAAACATGTCTTGTATGGAACCCTATATTGGTCTTCTTTGTATTATTCTTGAGCCATAGGAGTATTTGGTTGTATATTTATAATAAAATTATTTGATCTTATGTATTTTGATGATGGTTTGTTTTTTACAGAAACAGCCATCTCGGTTTTAATGTTTTTCCTTCAGGAACTTCTTAAAAGAGCGTACGTCCCAATCTATCCTGTTCTTTGGAGTATAAGAAGACCTGAATGTAAAAATTTTTAATTTCAGTTCAATTATCCAATATTTTTTGAGTTCCTACTATTGCTCTTAACTACTGAAGATTGATTTCTGCAGACCCCACCTACCATCATAATAATTTAATTGCTTGGATTTTTAAAAAATTTTTGGTATGATAATTGATTGTACTTTTTCATCTCAACAGATTTCCCATGTTATCCACGTTGGTCAGCACCCTGCAAATAAGCTCTGGGTGAAAGGAATTAACATTTTAAGGGAACCTGTGTCTGTATCTATATCTAGTGGCGTGCTAAGCCCTTTATACCTCATTTAATGGTTTGATCCATATAAAGAAAAACTATTTCATAGACATGGATTTTAAGTCTTCTCTACCTTGAGTACTTAAACTCAAAAATGTGTACCTAAATGGAGTCAACAAGTTGAAAAAGTTAATAATGGTAGTTAATCAGTAGTATCATTTTCTTTTCTAAAGACATTAAGTAAAAGTGAGTTATAATTTAACTTATGAATCTGATAGACTTTCTATCTGGCATACGAAAAAATCTTGAATTTATAGGAAAAGAAACAGGATATTTTAAAATAATTGGTGTATAAAATTATTCTCCATAGTGTATTCCTTTTATATATATAATATTTTGTTTCTGTCATTGTTAGCTCCATATGTAATAATAATACATATACAGTTACATTTATTAAAGAATATTTGTAGGGGCTGGCCCCGTGGCCGAGTGGTTAAGTTCGCGCGCTCCGCTGCAGGTGGCCCAGTGTTTCATGGGTTCGAATCCTGGGCACGGACATGGCATTGCTCGTCAAACCACAGTGAGGCAGCGTCCCACATGCCACAACTAGAAGGACCCACAACGAAGAATATACAACTATGCACCGGGGGGCTTTGGGGAGAAAAAGGAAAAAAAAATTTTTAAATCTAAAAAAAAAAAAGAATATTTGTAATCAAGGAGAAAGCCAAATTATGTTTGAGAGCTGCAGATAAGGCAGATTTTTTAAGTGGTGAATTTTTAACATTTTAAAACAAACATTAATGACTTGGCCAAAGGCATAGCATATACCTTCTATTTAAAAACACGTTTATGAGGAATATTTTTAATTAAAGGAGAAATTATTTCATATTGGCCACCACCACAGTCTCTTAGGCACTTGGTGTGCTATGACAAATATTAGCATGTTCAAAATTTGGTTTTGGTTTTTAGTTTTTGCATTTTATGCATCTTGATGATACCAGTAATTTTAGGTGTTGAAATTATGTAGATCGTCGACACAAAAATAAACACTTACAGAGTTGGTGATCTGCCTTTTTGTTCCAAGGTGCAAAGCAGTGTAGCCATTTGGAATCTAGTGGAGCACAGCATTCTTGAATGGCCTGATCTGGTAGATTATGAATTCTTAACTGGAAATATTTAAAGACATGACCAGAACAATAAAAAGTATGTTAAAAATGGTAAATGTTAATTAAATCATAAATTGGCCACCATACTCCACAGTAAGGTATTAAGGGTACAGACTTTTGAGTCAGAGAGTTATAGATTCAAATTCCAGGTCTGATACTTATTCAGATGACCTCAAACAATGAACATTGTCTATCAGACGCTCAGTTTTCATCTGGAAAATAGTAATAATCTGATAGCTATTTAATTAGATGGAGAGTTACATGAGGTTGCATTTGTAAAGGTGTCTAGTGCTCAGCAATTGGTACCTATTACAGCATGTGATTTCTGAATTTTTTGGTCTTTATTTAATGCCAGATCAATACAATGTTACTATCGTATGTTTTTCAGAATTGCATGAGGTAAGTTTGTGAAAGTGATGTATACATAAAGTCTGTTCAAATGTTACTCTGTAGCATTGTATGCAGATTGCCTGAGTAAGCTGTGTAACTTTGGACTTCAATTTCCTCTCGTAAAATGGGAATATTAGTATCTATCTTGGGATTTTTAGGATTCAATAAGTTAATATATATAAGGCACTTAGAGCACAACTTGGTACATAATAAGTGCTCAATAGAATCTATTGTATAATTATTACTGTTATACTTTAGCATCTTTTCTGGTAATGGTAGAGATTGAAAGTAAGAATAGCTCATGGGTGATATCATAACTGTTGGATTTTAAAGTTGAAAAAGACATTGGAGATCATAGGGTATTTGGGGAGAAACTGGAAAACTGTGCTTGGCATGTAGTAGGTACTCGTTATTTTTGACTGAATGAAACTAAGAGATTACGCTATTTACTTAAAGGAGGCAAAAATGAGTACAACTCATAGTTCCTTCTTCCTGATTGAAACTGCTGGCTTGATAATTATGTATACCACACTACCTGTCACCCAATTTTTATTCCTATTAAATGTGATATTTCATAAAATGGTATTACTTTTCTGGAAGTTTTCTTCCTACAAATTAAAAATCAGGTAGGCTGTTATGAACCTCTACTCTATTTGACTTGCCTTATGCCAGTTTATTGGCCTCTTAAGATTTCTTTATACCACCGTAGTTTTTCATCATATTTTAAGAAAATGTAGGGGAGTTGGTTTCCTGCTTCAATTTGATAAGCCTTTGTTATTTCTTAACAAGAAATGAGTTTTTAAAAATAAGTGGCTTATTTTTCCCTTCCCAGATGCCACTTTTATTCATTCATTCAACAGAACATCTGTGAGGTGCCTATTCTTCTGTCTGGCCTTGTTTTTTAAAATTTTAGATGCTTCAGATACAAATATGAGTGTTTCACTGCTCCTGCTGCCGTCTTAAATGCTGTATCCAAAATCCCCTGATACACATTAAAATTCAGGTTCTCAGGCCCAAGAGTTAGGGCTCACAATGGAGTGAGACTTTTTAAAATAGGGATAACTTTTCCAAAAGTTTTGAGGTTTTGATAACAAACCAGACTTGGGGACAATTTTTCAAGGAGTTCACCATCTGGAGAAGATAATGCATGTATACAGATAACTAATAAAAAATAGGTAGAATGTGTTGAGTGCCAAAGAAAGATTTCTTGAAAACCTCAGGCTGTTGCAAGAAGTTGAAATTCCTGGATGTTTTCTTGTTAGTAGATTTGAACATTCTTGTGGTGGGAGGGATTATCTACAAGCAATCTGTACCTGATTTGATTTTCTTTTATTAAAAGTTTTTATGTTATACAATGGAGTTTTTCTTCCCAACCTGTCCACACTTTTTGGGAAATTCAAGTCCTCCCTAACACTGGATTAGGTTTGTTCTTTTAAAAAAAGTCATTTCTCGAAAGAATTCAAGGCTCTGATAGAGTATAGTTGTCTTAGATTCTAGACCACTATTTGACCTCAAGGTGTGGGTTTCTTCAAGATTTGTGCCTGATGATCCTAGATTAGTGTAATATGTGTATTAAAGCCTTCTGAAAGTACCTCACTAACTTTTCACAGCCCTTTTTAAAAATTATGTTGAAGGTTTCTCTTGAATTGATATCATTATTCTTATTAGCAACTATGTTTAAAGAATAATTTCTCATAATATTTATATGAAATATTTCAAATTTTTATTTGATTTAAAAAAAAGAAATTCTGGTAAAGTCTGGTTACTCCCGCCCCAGCATCATTGAAAAGTAAGCAGTTGAGACAACTTTATGATTTTTGCCGTTTTGCATAAAATATTTCTAGGATGCAATATTGACTCTTCTGCCTTAAATATGGGCCTAAACTGACTTTGATATTTGTGACCGTTATTTAACAGCCATTTATGTTCAGTACTCTGATGCTTTCTGGGATCACTGAGGCATTTGTAAGGCTATTTGCCACAACCCTAAAAGATACCATATTTTTGCTCCCTTCTTCTGTTTAACCTTGGAAGTTTATATAGTTTTTCCAGTAAATACTGCCATTGCTTAAATTATTTTTAAAACTTCCTTTGAAATTTCTCTCAAAGCTTGTTCTATGTTCTTTCAGTTATTCATAGTGAAATAAGCGTGTAGAACTAAGTGTGGCAGCAAAGCTGTGTCCGAGGTGATATGTAGCCAGAAAGGCTGTCTGACTTCCTTCAAGCACCAAAAACTGGCTACAATTCTTATTGTACAATTTTACAGTAAGAATATTCGTTTGGGCTTCTTAAATTCTGATATGCTTGTTTAAAGGAAATCATATTTATGCATGACTAAGTATAAACCTTTATGGTAAAGTCTTAACTTAAGCTTTTCTATGTTAATTTAAACTTTTAAGGATTATCAAAAGAGGCCAGTAGTAAGTTGTATTTGTGATTCTCTGGAAAAAATATTTAAACCTACTGTATGCTTTTGAATTTTTGATGCCATCACCTCCTCTTTAGATAGGTTGGCCAAAATTGACTGTTTTAATAGTAATGTCTTTAAAATTTGAGTTGCTTGCTTGGCTATTAGGTTTGTGTAATTAAACTGAACTTAGAAAATATCTGCAAACAATGAGTTGCTTTGAAGTTAATCAAATTGCTAAGGCCTTGTATAACTATAAATCAACTTAAAGGTTAATTTGCATGTTTATTGTATACAGTTATTTATATAGTAAACGAACATTTTTTAATTCATGTCACGGTGATAACTGGACTTTGTTTACAGAAAGCCACAAAGAAAACTGATAGACCCAGACTAGAAGATAAAGATGATCTAGATGTAACAGAGCTAACTAATGAAGAGCTTCTGGATCAGCTTGTGAGATATGGAGTGAATCCTGGTCCTATTGTGGGTAAGTTGATAAAATTTCAAACATCTTTTCTATAAAACAGTATCCCAAATTGTTTCTAAAGGCCAGTCTGTCATTAATCATTTATATGACCAGTATCTTAGTTTTCTTAACTATAAATGAGGGAGATAAAATGAGAGAACTAGATAATCTCCAAGATTGCCTCTGTCATTGAGATTATTTCATGTGGTGCTCGTATCACACTGCCTGGTGAGACATTTGGATCTTAGATGAGGTAACATGTCTGGCCACATTCATTCAAATCAGTAAGTTAAAAGTCTTGATTGGAATTCAAGAGTGATACCCTAAAGAAAAACTTAAAAAAGAAAACCTGGAAAAACTAAATACACTAAATTTCCATCATTTGGTTACTGTTAATAGGTGATTTTGCAAGGCTGATTATGCCTTAATTTTGGAGGGTCTTGGCAGTAACCTCAAGATGAGAAAGATCTATTTTGATTTTCTAAGTTATGTAAAATTTGAACTGGTGATTTAGGGGTTTGTTTTTTCCTATAGGTATAGTTGCAAACAAGAATTTGGAATGTTGTCTTTCTTTTGTTTTATTTAATACACTGCTTCCAAATAGGTGATAATAAGCCTATTAATGTGATTACCAACAGACATTTGATATCCTTTTTAAATTTTTCACTTAAAATTCCAAAAGGGAGGTGATGAAAAATGTGTATTATGCGTCAACATAAATTACATGTTGGTATTATCAGCTCTTTATTTTTTAAAGTTGTATATGTTAAGGTGTACAACTTGATGTACATAGACATTGTGAAATAATCACCATAATCAAGCTAACTAACATATCCCTCACCTCCACCTCACGTAGTTTTCTTTTGTGTATACGTGTGGTGAGAGCACTGAAGATCTACTTTTTTAGCAAATTTCGAAGATGTAATAGAGTATTGTTAACTGTGACCCATGCTATGACATTAGATTCCAAAACTTAATTATCTTGCATAACTGGGGTTTTGTACCCTTTGACCAACATCCTACCATCTCCCCCTCCCTAGCTGTTCATCTTAAGACTGCTTATATAACATTTTGAGATATGTGTTGTTTCTAAAAATACATATTTATTGTCATTTTATTCATCTTACAGAAATCAGGGAAAGACATACAGCTGGTGTAAGCAAAATAAAAGCTATTTTTGATTTTAAATTGTCCTTGATGTTGAAATGTGTTAAGAATTCGTTTAGAATCAGTTTTACTTTGCTAATTGTATAATTTCTATTAGTAACACACATTTCCATAAAAGGTCATTTTAACTGCAAAGTGGTTATATTTAAAGACAACACCTTAAATTTACACAATGTTATGTGTCAAATATATTCAGTTTTTAAATTGATTTCTAGGACTTTTCCCATAACTGAATGGCTGTTTATAGGCATATTAATCTCCTAGAGTTGTGGCGTTTTAAGCATAGTAATTCAAAGGAGTACAATCTGTTTATAAAAATGATTTTTCTACAAAGGCAAGTACTCTTAGATAATACTGGAGAAAAGACACAAAGTCCAAAACTTTTCAGTCAGAAATCCTCACTCATACATGGCTTTTCAGAAGATGATGTGTAATAAGATCTGTATCAATCTACTATGTATTCTATGCTATTTAAAGAAACATTGCTGTAATCATGTGTTAAAATCCCAGAAGAAAGCCTATTTTAGAAAAGAATCCATTGTATAGTATTTTTAAGCACTTAAGTTTAGGAAAGAAGAGAATGAAAGTAACATTTTAATGTTGCTAAAGATGAAGTCTGAGCTGGATCTTAAATAAGATAACATGAGTCCTAAAGCATGTTGTGCCTTAATGCAGGAACAACCAGGAAGCTGTATGAGAAAAAGCTGTTGAAACTGAGGGAACAAGGAACAGAATCAAGATCATCTACCCCTCTGCCAACAATTTCTTCTTCAGCAGAAAATACAAGACAGAATGGAAGTAATGACTCTGACAGATACAGTGACAACGAAGAAGGTAAAATTTTAAATGATGTTAATCAAATATATGTAATTTTTTTCAGACTCATAAGATACAGTAACAGTGAAGAAGATAAAATTTAGAATAATACCAAGATTAATGATATAAACAAAAATTACATATGAGTAATCCTTTAAGTAATTTGATTTAAATATCTTTTGTTGAGAATTCTAAGAAACAGAAAAGTACAAATATCTAATTTTTTGTCGCGTAAAATTGCCAGGTGCCTGGATCTTTTTTCCTTCAAATGTCGTTTTTCTAAGAGAATAAAGTATTACAAATAAAGACAAAGTTCCCCCATTTATGCCTCTCCAAGTATCATCTCCACAGAAGCAACCACTATTGTTAATTTGATGCTTATCTTTCCAGTCTGTTTTTAATTAATTTTTCATGTACATCTATCTAATACATGGTATTATTTTGTACTTTAAAAAGTCTATATAAATGATATCGTGTTAAATCTTATCACTTGCTTGTTTTTTTGCTCTATTATTGAGATCTCATCTTATTGATTTGTTACATATATGTCTGGTTTATTTCTCATGATAAATAGCAGTAATGTTTACGTATCGCATGTTTTCTTTGTTCTCTATTGATAGGCATTTAGATTTAGAGTTTTTACTAGATAATCTGATTTTAAGGCAACTTCAAAGCAAATATTTTGACATATTTTCAGTAGACTATTTTAAGAAAATTTGACCATATTTAAATATTTTTTGGAAACAGTACCTGAAATAAATGACCTTTTCAAATTTATTCTAAGAACAACTTGATATTTATAACCTTTTAATTCAATGACTTGTTTATTAATTTCGTGATTTAATTTGACCCAAATTAGTTATATCTCCATAAGCATTGCCTGCCAGGGCACAGTCTGTCAGATTGGTTGTTCAGAATATGAAATATAGAGTCTTTTCCTTCAACAGCACTATATTAGCAAGGAGGCAAAGAATAAAGTCAGCTTAAACACAAGTAATACTTAAACTTCCTGCCTCTTTTGCCTCTACAGGAAAGAAGAAAGAACACAAGAAAGTGAAGTCCACTAGGGATTTTGTTCCTTTTTCTGAACTTCCAACTACTCCCTCTGGTGGATTTTTTCAGGATATTTCTTTTCCTGAAATCTCCACCCGTCCTCCTTTGGGCAGGACTGAACTACAGGCAGCTAAGAAAGTACATACTTCTAAGGGAGACCCACCTAGGGAACCTCTTATTGCTACAGCCTTGCCTGGCAGGGAGCAGTTGCAGAAGTTAGCCTCTGGAGGGAATTTGTTTACTTCCTCCAAGTCTAGCCATGATAGATGTTTAGAGAAAAGTTCTTCGACATCTTCTCAGCATGAACTCGCTGCCATGTTGGTCTCTACTGCAGCTTCTCCTTCACTGATTAAAGAAACCACCACTACTTGCTATAAAGACATAGTAGAAAATATTTACCGTGGAGAGAAAAGTGGAATTCAACCATTATGTACTGAGAGGTCCCATGTTACAGAGTCTGAGAGATCACAAGTAATTTCTCCACCACTTGCTCAGGCAATCAGAGATTATGTCAATTCTCTGTTGGTCCAGGGTGGGGTAGGTAGTTTGCCTGGGACTTCTAACTCTACACCCCCACTGGATGTAGAAAACACAAGGAAGAGAATTGATCAATCTAATTATCAAGAAACTGAATCCCTGACTCCTCCACGAAAATTCCCTAGACTCAGTGAAAAGTCAGTAGAGGAAAAGGATTCGGGTTCCTTTGTGGGATTTCAAAATATACCTGAATCTGAACTGATGTCGTCTTTCACCAAAGCTGTTGTCTCTCACTCACTCACTACCTTAGGCATAGAAATGTCTAAACAGTCACAGCATGATAAAATAGATGCCCCGGAACAGTCTTTTCCCTTCCATGAATCTATTTTAAAAGTAATTGAGGAGGAGTGGCAGCAAATTGACAGGCAACTGCCTTCATTGGCATGCAAGTATCCAATTTCTTCCAGAGAGGCGACACGGATATTATCAGTTCCAAAAGTAGATGATGAGATCCTGGGGTGTATTTCTGAAGCCACTCCACCAGCAGGTATTCAGGCAGCTTCCACTGAGTCTTGTGATAAACAGGTGGACTTAGCACTTTGTAGAGCATATGAAGCTGCTGCATCAGCATTGCAGATTGCAACCCATACAGCCTTTGTAGTTCGGGCAATGCAGGCAGACATTAGTCAGACCGCACAAATTCTTAGCTCAGATCCTAGTCGTGTGCACCAGGCACTTGGGATTCTGAGCAAAACATATGACGCAGCCTCATTTCTTTGTGAAGCTGCATTCGATGAGGTAAAGATGGCTGCCCACACCATGGGATCTTCGACTTTAGGTCGCCGGTGTCTCTGGTTAAAGGATTGCAAAATTAATCCAGCTTCTAAGAATAAGCTGGCTGTTACTCCCTTTAAAGGTGGAACATTATTTGGAGGAGAAGTATACAAAGTAATTAAAAAGCGTGGAAATAAACACTAATGGAGTTAAGAATAAAGACATCTATTCTATTATTGATATGGGGAACTTAGCAGCTTTTCTAAGAATTTCAAGTACTTTTATGCCAAAATTTTATTTTCTCTTAAAGTAGTTTTGGTTTCCAGATTGGGCCAATTTCGGTGTCAAGCTTCTACCCATCAAATTACAGTAATAAATAAAAATAATTGCCTACAAAGAACTGCCTTTTTTTTTAAGTTGCGCAGATGGAAAGCCTGATACAAACAATTTAAAGCTTTGTAGATCACTTTTTTGTCTCAAATAATCCACTCTTTCCTATTAAGACTTTACAACTCTTGAACACTAAAAATCCATTAACTAGAATATAATTAGTCTTCACTGTTTTACATATTACTAGATATCTTTTCACTTTCTAGAACTTGTCTACATTTTTCCTTTTGTTTTCTCCCTTTTTTTTTTTTTTTTTTTTTTTACTTATGTCTACAGTGTCACTCATAATAGTCTAGATCAGTGCAACTCAAAGTGCCGGTCTGCAAACTGTTACTGCTCCACAGACAAGCATGCACCAGAATTTGAACCTAGAGGCACTTTTAAGATCGATGACAGGGTTTATTTCTGTGGTAAAATTTTGTTGGCAGAGAAAACAGTGTACTAATTTACATTCTGATGCAAGTGCCTCGTTTCTTCATGGACTGGGAGCATACAGTTTGTGGACTACACTTTGAGAAATAGTGCTCTAGACCATAATATTCTGAGATAGTGCATTCCCACCATGGCTGTAGTTTGTCAGATGAATTAGACAGTGGAAAGATGGGGCTTGATTATTATTTTTTTTAGTAACTCTTTCAAGGTATGTTGTACTTCATGGATGATTAGGCTTAATCTAAATTCTAAAAGCAAATTTGTTATTAGATTTTTTAGAAAGATCATAAGAAATACTCTATTCCAGTATCTTGTGTGTCTATATAAAGCAGTATATTCTGTTTACATTTTTATGATTGTAAGATGAATGAGTCTTAACTGTAGAGACATTTGATAATCAAATTTCTTTGTATTTCTGTGGAAAATAGTAGTATTGAGTATAAGCAAAATGCAGTTTCTTGGGCACTCCTAGCCTTTACTCTATTCTTAGACTATGTCCGTCTTTGCCCCCTTCAGGGAGTAATTTTGTTATTTGTCTTCTGAAATGTACATGTATACATGTACCTACTAAGCACTATGTGATTTTTTTTTAATGTATTGCTGTAGAATGCTTCTTCAAATTCAATAAAGTTGTTAAATTTGAACAGTTTTGTGTGGTCTCCAGAAACATGTTGTATGTGTGTTTTATTCTTGGAGTTGCAACAAGTTAGATATTTGTGGGTGAACATCCCTTTTCCATGTCATCATGGAAACTCACTTGACATTTGGTATAGTTGAAAATATTCTAATTGTTGTGTGGTTTTTCTTCTATTTGAGGACCATGTTATTGGCTGTTGGAATTTAAATTTGTTAAAGGAATTCATCTATAACCAGATACTTTATTTGTTTAATCAATTTCTGCTCAACTGATGTTGGGTTCTTTATTTTGCCCTTTCTAATTCGTAGATTCTGAGTTAACAGCATAAGATTTTATAATGCTAAGGATTGTCCTAAACATAGATACAATGATAGATCCATTAACAGAAGTATTGGGAGGTGGGGGATGGAGTTGATAACCTTAATCCTAAATAAAGATTGAACTATTTGAACTAACACAGTAAAAATCACTGTTCATTTTGGGGAAGCTTGCAAGTAGACTCTGGACTGACTAGTACTAGACAAGGTAGTTAGCAAGACACAGCTATCTGGACTACTTTTTAGCACAACTGCATTGAGTTTATGCAAAACTAAGTTTTTGTTTAAGAATTGGCTTCATTTCTGTCTAGTAAAAAAGTAATCTAAGAGATTTTTGGTAATACTAATAGAAGTTTTACAGGTAACTTACGTTAATTTTGCTATACTATGATTCAAGGCCACAAAAATGTGGAAGTTAATTTTATCAGTCTTTAAAAATCTAGCTCTTCAAATGGTGATAAGATCAAGACTAGGAGAATGGAGTATTGAAGCCTATAAAAAGATGTATATATATTTGAATTATTAGGTAAATAACCATCATGGTGATACGCTAAGGAATACATATGCATTAGCTTCTCTTGAAAGAAATGTTACCTTGTTTTCATTATGGGGAGGAGGAAGAGAAGAAGTGACTTGTGATTGGTTGTGCTTTTCTGTGAACAAGATTCCTCCCTTCCTCCTCAACTGTGCCCGGGTTTTTTATAATCACATCAAAAAAAGGGGGAAAGACTTAAACTTCACTTACGTATTAATGTCATCGCACTTATTTATTGTTATTAGAGGCTTGATATCATACAGGTTTTTTTAATTCTTAAAATTCCCTATAGCTTTTTCCCTTCCATATTCCAAAATTTAATAGCTAACCTTTGTTAATATAGTACTAATATGCTGTATGAACAAAGAATGGTTACAACTATGTATTTTAATGTCCTTTTCTTACATCTGAATTTTTTTGGTAAAAAGCCTCCTCAGGAGCAGTTTGAACTCACTTTATGTTTCGGACTACTAGTCCCAGAAAAAGGAGAGGAGAATAAATAGGAAGAAATAGTGATCTGATTAAGGACTGGAGGAGAGAAACAAAAATAGAATAAAATAAGAAATGGAAAAGAAAAGTTTGTAAAGACAGAGACTGCAGTTAAAGACTAATTTGCAGTTAAACAGTTTTCGTCTATTGAGGTAATGCCAATAAACAAACTTCTTTTACATATTAATGTGCCTAAAACCAGGGTTCCAAAGAAGTTTCAGGATGACACTGTAGTTTATTATATGTTTCAGAAAGTAATGGTTTCTCCAATGTTATTTCCAGACTCTAAAATAGAGCTCAAGCTTGAGAAGAGAGAACCACTAAAAGGCAGAGCAAAGACTCCAGTAACACTCAAGCAAAGAAGAGTTGAGCACAATCAGGTATCTTGAGTTTTGTGATCCCTGTGTTCGGGTGTAAGTAGTCTGACAACACTAATTTGCCTGTGTCCTAGCCTTTGGTTAATTGTTGACACCAGATTCCAGCGCACTCAATGAAGTGTTCGTTCTATTGTTCATTAAATGGCATTCAAAATGTAAACTTTGTGTTTTTTTGTCAATAGTGTAGCCTGTGCTTACTGCAAAAGCAAGTGTTTAATAAATGTCTCATTTGTGTTTGATTCTGTGCTAAGCTTGGTTCAAAGCCAGTCATACTGCTTTTTTAAGAGAAATATTTTTTAAAGGTGGAAATGCCTATGCAATTCTAATTTCTTTAAAAGGCAGGGGAAGGGTTTTATATTTTTGTCTTTGTCTCTGGATTTCTGACTGCTCTTACTTTTGCCTGTCTTATCTTCTGTGGCTTTTCCCTCAACTCTGTGGCTAGTCTGGTCCTAAGACCACACTAGTCTTCCTTATTCTAGATGAAATTTACCTTTTTTATCATGGGTGAGGCAAGATACAGATTTTCAAAGGAAAATATAGGAAACTAAGGGGAAAAATAAGCACAGGTATGAAAGAGCTAGTTTACAGAGAACAAATTACTGACTCTAATCGAGCATTGATTTTGCTGATGTTTTACAAGACCGCTGTCACTAATCATTTCCTTATCTATCTTCTGTCCAGCTGGAAGATTTATCTAGTTGGTTATTTATATTTTCCATCTTCTCTTTGTCATTTTAAAGTCACACATCCTCAGAAAAAGTGTTCTTGATTTCTTAAGCCATGTCTCTCTCGGTTTGATGTAAGTTGATAAGTTGAATTTCAGAACTGTTTGTTAGAAATGAGCTTGGTGACTGGGGAATGTGTAGAGCATTGAATGAAAGAAGATTTTATTTAATATAGAACCAAATACTGGAATAAATATTACCCTTTTATCGAGTATTGCTAGGGAAGAGCTGCAGGAGCATGCTGAAGAATAAGGAAATAACAGAGCAAGAGAAACTAGGAAAATGTGGTCAAGGACACTGAAATAGACAGGCATGGGGAATTTAAGCACATAGAAAAGTTGGGTGAAGAGTTTAATGACTCTCCAGTCACACAGTCATAGAGCTTCAACAGTTGACAACATTTTACCAGTTTTGTTTCGTCTTTGCCCGCACCCTCCAGCCTTTAAATTCTTTTTGGTTTTGTTGTTTTGCATTTGCCAGAGTGTATTAAAGCAAATCTCCAACATCACATTATATCATATCTCACACATTAAAATGTCAGTATGTTGGTGTATATCTCTAAAGATAGGAGCTGTTTTTTTAATATATATATATGCGTTACTATATAAAATATGCCAGTGCCACTACCAGACCTAATAAAATTAATAACTTTTTCATATCTAATCTGTTGAAATTCCTTCAGTTTCAGAAATGTCTCTCTTATGATTAAATTGTTCATATCAGGATGCAGACAATCTCCACATATCATTTGGTGTTTTTTGTTTTGTTTTATCTCTTAAGTAGGTAGCGATTTCCCCTATAACTGTTTCCTTTCCCTCCATTATTTGGTGAAGAAGCCAGGTCGTTTCTCTACAGAATTTTCCACATTCTGGATTTGGCAGATTGCTTCTTCCTAAATATGATTTAATTTGCTCTTCTATACCCTGTATTTCCTGTATGCTGGGAGTTAGACCTGTAGTAAAGCTGTGCAATAGACTTTTCTGTGATAATGGAAATGTTTTATATCTGCTGTCCATTATGGTAGCCACTAGCCACATGTGGCTGTTGAATACTTGGAATGTCGCCTCTGTGGCTAAGAAACTAAAATTTTAATTTTATTTAATTTAAATAGCCACATGTGGCTAGTGGCTACCATAATGGACAGCACAGAGTGTGTTGGTTACATTCAGCTTCAGTTTCTTTGACAAGAATACTTCATAAATGGTGTTGTGGCCTTCATATTGTGTCATTTCGAGAGGCACATGATGTCTTTTTGATGATGTTAAAATTAATTAGTAATAGGTTCAGATGTTGAAAACCTGATCCATCCATGGTAAAGTTCCACATCACCGTTTCATTTATTGGTTATGATAGCCATTTATGATTCTTGTCTAGATCCATTATTTTCATTTGAGGTTGTAAGATGGTGATTTATCTCATTCTCTCATTCCTTTACATCTATATCTGGAATTCAAATAACTTTCCCTCATGAACTGCCTAGTTACCTTGAAATAAAATTCATACAGGAGAGTCAGTATAAATGCTTGTTTTTTGCCTTTTTTTCTTTTTTTAAAAATTTTTTTCTTAAAGATTGGCACCTGAGCTAACAACTGTTGCCAATCTTCTTTTTTTTCTTCTTCTTCTTTTTCTCCCCAAATCCCCCCCAGTACATAGTTGTATATTTTAGTTGTGGGTCCTTCTGGTTGTGCTGTGTGGGACACCACCTCAGCATGGCCTAATGAACGGTGACGTGTCCATGCCCAGGATTCGAACCAGCGAAGCCCTGGGCTGCCACAGCAGAGCGCTCAAACTTAACCACTCGGCCGTGGGGCTGGCCCCTGTTTTTTGCCTTTTATTTGCCAATTTTCAACTTAAAGTGCCCTAGTCACTTTGAAAAGTGATCAATAAAATCTTTCTACTAGTATAGTTTTTATATATTTGACTTATGATCAATTATAGTCATTCCTTTTTCATGTTCAAATTTTGCTGTCTTTAGCCATTGAGAATTACTGAGTTGGTTCGTCTGTCTCTTTATTGATGCTGTTTGTCTTTGATAGTTTGTTTTCTGGCAAGTAAGACCTCCCAGGCTCATGTGTATTTCCCGCCTCTTATCAAATTAGCCATTTTTCCAAAGGACCTTTATCCTTTTAATAGAAAATATTTGGAAGCTACCAACAATCTGGATGCTAGTGTTCATTCCTGCTGGGCTGTCACTGCTTCTAATCCTTTTCAGTAGGTAGAGCTAGGAGTACTTGTTTTTTAGAAAGAGAAAATAAATCATGAATTCATCAAATTTATTAATTCAGGCTATCTAACTTCTAGGTGTTATTCTTGTATTTCTTTCTTTCTTTTTTTTTCTGCTTTTTCTCCCCAAATCCCCCAAGTACATAGTTGTATATTTTAGTTGTGGGTCCTTCCACTTGTGGCATGTGGGACGCCACCCCAACATGGCCTGGTGAGTGGTGCCATGTCCATGCCCAGGATCCAAACTGGTGAAACCCTGGGCTGCCGAAGTGAAGCACACGAACTTAAACACTGGGCCGTGGTGCCGGCCCCTACTTGTATTTCTTTTATGCTGAGTATCTTGGTTCTTAAAATAATATTGTTA